GCTCCATCGATCCTTTCTTCCCGGCTTTCTCCCTCGTCTTGCTCGTGTTTATAGCTTCCAAAGGTCTCCAAAGATCTGAAAAATATGTACCACACTCCTAAAAAATGTGTCAAAGGGTTGTATATATAGTTGGGGTCGAGTCCTATTCGAAATAGGTCGAAAAAATTGAAAAAATAGGAAAAATGCGTAAAAGGTGTATTGGTCGCGCCCAGGGTCACACGACTCGTGTCATAAGTCACACGGGTCATGTGCCAATGCCGAGAGTTCGTTTCAGACCAGTTTTGCTCGACACGAGTCGTGTCCAACGTCACATGACCCGTGTGTACTTGGGCGCCTATAATCTTCACTTTTCGCGCAGTTCACGTCTCCTGATGCGTTTTCTAACATCCCAGGTGGCTCAAGACGTCGAATTACGATCAACATGGTCGAGTTCCGGCAGCTCCGGCTGCCTGCGATTTCTCCGGCGGGATTGCAACAGCTTCAAGCTTCTTCTCCGTGGTGAAAGGATGGCTGCAGCGGAGGATGGAGAGGTTGTCTGGATGGCGGAAGGGTGATCAGGGCGGCTTCCAGGTCTTAAATATGGTGCTCCGTACGTGATTCCGGCCATTTCCGGCGGGTTTGCAGCAGCTTCTCCAGCGACGGGCTTAACGTCCAGGCTGCTCCTCCTGCGACGGTCTGTCAGCGACAGCCATCAATGTAGTCTCCGGTGGCTTGTACGCGGCGTGGTGGCGAGGTGACGAGCTTGGTCGAGCAGCTCCTTCTCGAAAATGGCGGATGTACGTGAGGTGAAGAAGATGGCTTTAATCTGTCGTTTTGAAATAAAAAAAAAAAAAAAAAANAAAAGATGGCTTTCTCTCTCCCTCAATATTTTAGTCTCAGAAATTACCATATTGCCCTCAACTTAAATGTTTAGCTTGGGCTGAATTCTGTGGGCTTCCATGGGCTGCTCCTTAGCCCAATAGTCTTAAAGAAAAACTGATTTCTTCCTCTCCAACAGGGCCTTATAAATGGGTCCATCATAATAAACAACTTGCATCACATCTTCAACCGATTCCTACCGATTTTGTTTCCAATAATTAATTCGACCTTATTTCCTGTTAAAACTCAAATAAAACTCAAAAATGACGCATGTCAAATCCCCAAACTTAACCGTTGTTCGTCCCCGAACAACAACTAAGCAAAAACAAACCACGTGCATGGAAAGTGATTTCATACAAGAAAATCATCAAGTCACTTAAATAATCAAGATAAATTCAAATAATCTCAAATACATATGTCCCAACTCTTAGCTTGATAAATCTTTGAATTAATGAACTCTGAAATAAGGTCAAATATATATGTGCCTCACTCAAATATCTTGTGAAATATTAACATAAAATAAAAGGGTACGCTCAAGTTAGTCTGAAACACAAAGTCAACCATAAGCTTGCAAATCGTCTACACTTTACTAAATACAATTAATGTACATAAGTTATGAATCAAAAGGACTTTTTTGTTGTAATGTAGGCTCTTTGGACAAGGTAGGAAAATATAAGTCAAGTGACTAAAAAAAATCAAAAAATATATCAATGAAAAATCACAATCCTCTATCTCCAATTACATCCCAAGACAAACGTACAGTGTTGTTTGTGGCGTTATTCTCTCTCTCTCTCACTTTTATTTTTTTTTAGTTTGTATTCTCCACTAGTGGGAGCTTTAGCATTGTTTTAGTTTTGTGGGTGAGTTTGCAGTGTAGTCGTTTCTAGACTACCAATGTGTAAACCTCCAATTTGGATAGCTTTCTAGCTAGTTTATCCAGCTAGTTAGCTGCTTGTAATTATGTGGTTTTTTTTAATGAAGCCTATCATTCCAAGAAAATAAACAAATAATTAAATTTAAACCAAAACAACGTTGTCGATGGGGGCTATGGCTTAAAATGAGACTCGAAGAATTATGAACCATTCTAAAAACTAAACCGAAGTCACTCCGAACCGAAAAATAACTGTTGACCATTTGACTTTCTTCGAAGCGAACCGAAAAAATAATTGGTACAGTTCTGGAGATTTTACAAATATACATTCTGAGAATCGAACCGAACTGAACCGTACCGAATTAAATCAAACTATTCCCATACTGTACCGAACCGAATAACCGTATTATAACATTAGATGTGTGTCGCAACTTTAATCCAATATAATGTGAACATTTATAAAATACTAATTAAATATAGTAATAATAATTAAACTTCATATAATGTTTATGCTTAGTAATACTTGATCTATGATTGAATTTTTATTTTATGAAGAATTATTTAAAATAGTATGAAACGTTGATGTAATATTTTTTTAAAAAAAATATTAAAAATATTTAAATTTTATTTATTTATTTTTGATATTTTTGCCAGTCTTATTCTATCTTATATTTAAAATGGTATAAAATGTAGAAATATTTGTTTCAGAAAAAAATATATTATATTTTCTTTGAATTTTAAATTTTCATTATTAGTTGCACAAAAATTTAGTCTTAACTNTGTCCGGCCGGCGAAACCAGACGGCTTTTAGCCCGTCCGACCGCTGGAACCGGACGACTTTTAGCCCGTCCGGCCGGCCGGTTCGGACGGCATAAAAGCCGTCCGGTTTCGCCGGCCGGAATTTTTTTTTTATAAATTATTATGTTATATATTCGAAATAATTATGTTATCAATTGGACGTTAGATAAATTGGACGTTCGAAATAATTATCTTTTTTAATACATTATAATAATAATTATAAATAATTATGATAATAATTATAAATTAGATACAGTCAATCGTTCGGACTCCTCCCCGAGAAGTCCTCTCTTGTTCTCGCTAGAAGCTAAAAAGAACTCACTAGCAAGCGAAGCCCCTTAGACACGAGCGATTCCATTGGGGTGGAAAGGGAAAGCAGAAGAAAGGCAGCCCTCGCGGAAGCAGATTAAGAAAGTGGTTCAGGGGCTATAATTAATTATAATAATAATAATAATTATAATTTCTTATAATTTTAATTATAATATTTGTTATAATAATTATAATAATAATTTGTTATAATAATTATAATAACAATTATAAAGTATGTGTATATATTATATATACTTTATACTATACACTATATACTATATACTTCATACTACATACTAAATAGTATAAAGTATATGTATTTATTATATATTTCATACAACATACTACATATTATATACTTAATACTACATACTACAAACTATACACTATATACTTTATATTATACACTATATACTATATACTTCATACTACATACTACATATTATAAAGTATAAATTACATATTATATAATAGATACTACATACTACAATTCAAAATACTATATACTACATACTACAAATTATATACTATATATACTTTATATTATACACTATATACTCTATATTATATACTATACTAGATATTACATACTACATATATACTTCGAATTGTTCGACACGTTCGTGTTCGTAGTTTTTAACTTTTATTTTATTTTAATGTCATACAAGTTATTTTATTTAATATATAATATACATTCATATTTATATATATTATAATATATATGTATATACTATATATACAAGACATTGTTGTAGTACCAAATATTCAAATGTCTAATCCAACACAATGGAAGCCAATTCAAGAGAGGCTCATGAGTTGTCCTGCACGAAAATGAGTTGTTTGGTAGCAAAACTTTGAAAGGCCATAACTTTGCTTAGAAATGTCCGTTTTTCTAAGGTTCATTTGATTTTGAAGCAAAATTTTAGATTTTTCACATTTTTAAACCTCTATATCTCCCAAACGGAAAATTTTTTTACGAATTTTTTTTTATCACAACAATGCTCTCAACTCCAATTTCATGAACCAATGGGCAAAACTAGAAAACGCATTTTTGTACTGAATTACGTCTATATGTATTATACTTGTTGACATCTTTTCAACAAAATATTATTGGTGGAGTGGTTACCTTGATAGGCTTATTATTCATTTTGGTGGGAGGTCATGGGTTCAAGTCCTCTAGAGTCTCATTTTGTTGTGTTTTTTATTTTCTCCTTATACACATACACATGTGATGATACATATGTTTTTATTTTGCTCATTGTACACGTGATTATATATGTATGTAATTTTATTTTTGTATATAATATATGTATGTTTACAAATATTTCTGTGTGTATATATATATATATATTTTTAGATATTTATTTTTTTATTAATAGGTTTTTTAAAATAATAATTAAATTATAGCAAGGTATTTCGAAAAATACGTTTTAAAATTGATACTATTCAAAAGGCGTCTGGCCGGCCGGTTCGGACGGCATAAAAGCCTTCCGGTTTCGCCGGCCGGACAATTTTTTTTTTTTTAATAAATTATTATGTTGTATATTCGAAATTATAAATTGGATGTTAGATAAATTGGACGTTCGAAATAATTATCTTTTTTAATACATTATAATAATAATTATAAATAATTATGATAATAATTATAAATTAGAAATAACAATTATAAATTATAATAATAATATTTATTAAAATAAAAATAAATTATAATATATTTTAATAGTTATTACAATAGTTATTACAATAATTATTACATATTGAAAAATTTAATAATTATATTTTTGATAATATCTAACGTCCAATTAATAGCATAATGAAGTCTAACATGTAACATAATCATTTCTAACTCATAACACGATAATATCTAACGTCTAATTTATACATAATTATTTCGAATATATAACATAATAATTTAAAAAAAAAAAAAATTGTCCGGCCGGACGGTTTTTCTCTTTTTTTACTTTTTGGAAAAAAATGCCAGGGGCAAAATTGTCCAAGAAAGGACAGTAAATAATAGTAAGGGGCAGTGAATAGTAAATCATTAATATGGTGAAATGATAAACCTTGGAAACTTTGTTAAAAAGCATATAATAATTTAAATATAATTAGATAGCCACTCCAAAAAATTCCTCAATGAATTATAGTGACTCATGCTCACTCTCACACTCTCACAAATTTATTGACAATTATGATTTACCACGATTTTCTATTCCATTTTAATTCTTCGAATAATTATATTTACCTTAGGATTATTTCTCTCAGCTTTCAATTATTCTAATGAACTTTATTCTTCCGCCACTTTATTGTTTATTCACATACCCAATCTTCGAGTCCGTCTACTGTACTTCTCTTTACTCCGCCTCTCTCCCCATTTTTCTCGATCAAGTCGATCTAAACTCAAAACCCATCGGAGCATAATTCAGTCTTCGCACCATGACTCTTGGCTCAGGAGGATCCAGCGTCGTCGGTGAATGTTTTTCCATTTCTTGAATTTTATGTTTCAAGCATTTAAATGTCTTTTTTTTTCTTTTTTTTTTCTTTTCTTTTTTTGTCTCTGGGATGTCCTCAATTTCATAGTTTCTTACCGTCAATCTGCAAAAGGGTTGTTGCTTTTTGTGGGTATTAGTGCTTGAGCTGGTAGCGAAACGATTCATTTGAAGGGTTGAATGCTGGATCTCCGTAAAACTACTGTTGTCTGTTCTGATTATCATAGATATATTGATGCTTTTTTCTTTTATGTCGTGGTTATATTTCTTTGGATCTTAGATGTTTTGATATGGGTTTTTGATGGAAAAATCAATTAGTTGAATATGTTTGGTGCTTTTGCTGTACATTTGACAAATATGGGGTGTTTTATTCACGTTAATCAGATTGTTTACACTCTTGAGCGCCCGGTGCCTGGTGGGCTGTTTTCTTTTTTTATGTAAATATCAATTGCTTGTTATTGCTATACTTTTGACAAATATGGCTTTATGGTGTTCTACGGACATTAATTAGATTGTATTACTCTGTTGAGCACCTGGTGAGCTGGTTTGTCCTCTCATTTTGTGTATCATGGGTTTGTTCTGTGATGTCAATGGAGAAAAAGGTGAAGTAAATTCTTTTGATGATTAATTATGTGTTTTGCCAATGCGCGACAAAGACTTGCACATTGTGCGTCAAAAGGTTGTTAAGATTTGTTTTCCTTTGAGAGCCAAGAAAATCTAATTACTTACTGACTTTCAGTTCCACCATATTGCTTGAAATTTCATGTTGTTTGTTGCAATTGGTTCGTCCAAACAAATGGTACGAAGAGGCTTTCTAATCTTCAACACTTCTGTGGGCATGAAATTGATTGTGGATGAATTGGATGAATGATGAAATTTGTATGGTGTAACCTGTTTCACCCTTTTGTGAATTTACATGAGATTCATCGATCTAGTTAAATATATAGAATAATGAGGTCATCTGGTTTTTATGCAGTCCCTCGAAATTTCCGGTTGCTGGAGGAGCTCGAAAGAGGGGAGAAGGGCATTGGGGATGGTACAGTAAGCTATGGTATGGATGATGGAGATGATATCTACATGCGATCCTGGACTGGCACAATCATAGGCCCACACAATGTTAGCATCTCCTCTTTCTATAGATTATCTTATTCTAATGTGTAATAATTCATACCTAAATTTCTTTTCTTTCATAGTCATTCGGTTTCGGCCATTCGTATGGTCATTCGTGGCTATTCAATAGCTTAATAGTTTTTTTTAGTTGTATCATTGCGGGGTTGATTAATATTCACCCATAGATTAATAGTAACTCTTTTGCAATTTTTTTGGCCTTGCATCATTCTTTGCTGTTTTGGCAGAACCTAGATTGCTTACGGTTTTTTATTAGATGATTTATTTTTTCTATTCTTTAATTTTTTATGGAACTCAATATTTATTATGTTGANTTTTGCTTCTCTTGTCAGTCTGTGCATGAAGGGCGTATATATCAGTTAAAACTGTTTTGCGACAAAGATTACCCAGAGAAGCCTCCCAGTGTTCGATTCCATTCTCGAATTAACATGACCTGTGTAAACCATGAAACTGGTGTGGTGCGTCTAATATTCTCTCTTTCCTCAGTTGATATCATATTTCCATGAACAGGAGCAGCTCTGTTAGAATTTTCTTGAATTGAATGGTAAAGTAGGATTTGCTTGTATTCTGATTGACCTGTGTAAAATCTCTTTTGTTTTCCATCAACTCTCTTTAGGTTGAACCGAAAAAATTCGGACTTCTGACAAATTGGCAGAGAGAGTACACAATGGAAACCATACTAACACAGCTCAAGAAAGAAATGGCGGCCTCACACAACCGTAAGCTCGTTCAGCCTCCGGAAGGAACTTATTTCTAGCCTAAAGACAAAAATGGCCCCGTCAATCCATATGCTGATTTCAATAGTTTCGTGTCTATTTTTTTTTTTTTTTAGCAAGTTGTAAAGGGGAATGCTATCCCGTAAGCTTTCTCCTATCATCTCACTTGATCTGTTTTGTATTGTACTCATTCGCTTGTTTTTTGTGTTCTTGGGACATTTTGGTTGATCGGGGTTCATATATGAAGATTATTATAAGCATATCAACTCGTCATTTTAGCAGTGATGGTATTTGTTAATCGTAAAAGATTTACGGGCGTATGTTGAAGTATCAATGGGACTATGGATTATGGTGAGATCTTTCTATAATTTAAGGTTTGCTGCAATATCCTTGTTCACATTGCTGGATCAAATGAGTTGGGCAAATTGCAGTCAGGTTTGCATTTGAACAATTTATTTAGTATGCCTCAATCAGATGCTGGCATTGTGGACTTGAGGATATGCTTTTGGTGAGAATGTGATGTTCCCTTCTAGAGCTTTTGGATATTTTGATTTTTCCTTTTTGCCATATTTTGAGTTTGGGATTTTGATGTGACTAAGGATAATTGATGTATTTAAAGCATCATGTTTAAACAATAATGATATAATTTGAGCATGAAAAGAGAGGCTAAATTGAGCTAACAAGAAATTTATTTACTGTTATTAAACCATGTAAAAGGAAATTAGGAAATATGCTCTGCTTTTCTACGTTGATATTGAAACTAACAAGTGGAGGACTAATGGCTAAATTTCAGTCTTGTACTCTTAAGAAAAAGATTGGTAAGTGGAGGACTAATGGCTAAATTTCAGTCTTGTACTCTTAAGAAAAAGATTGGTAAGTGGAGGACTAATGGCTAAATTTCAGTCTTGTACTCTTAAGAAAAAGGTTGGTACGTTCATAAACTACACAGAATATTCCACTAGCTTCTCTGCATGGTCTCTTTCTTCTAAGCTAAGCCTCCTTGAAAAATCTGGTCGAACATTATCATAACGAACAGGTTTAAGAAGGGAAAGAAAAGTTTATTAAAGAAAATAAAACATCATAAATTTATCACTCAATTAGCAAGGCCTTTCAGAGCAATATTATCCCTGTAAAAATAGGCGTACAGAATCTAATGTAACTATAAACTGGAAATCGTATTCGTAGAGATTATCGTGTCTAAACTTAAGTAACTCTTCCTAGAAATATACCTCATATTTTCCATTAACGGATTTGAACCATTAGGCACATATTGAGTCTAATTTACAAATTTGTTAAATAATAGATGAGAGAGATCGACTCAATTAATAGAGATCATTATTATTATACAATCATGTTTAGAAAGAATTTTAAAAAATTCAAAATCAAATTGTCATAGTTGTAAACAATATTTTTGTTAGAGATACATACCTTTATAGATTTAATTAAAATGATTATCATTTTCTTATAAACTGAGGGTGAAAAATGTATACCATTTTACATAGTTATCAATCTATTACTTACTTATTATTTATTCCACATTTATTTTTATAATTTCACAATAATAATATATATAATTTTATATATTTATTTTTAATATATAAATATATATATTTTACTATACATGTACACGGATGTCGTACCAGTATGTATATATATTGAACTATGTACACTTATTCAGGCATTTGTTTTTTCTTTGCCTAGAGTGATAAAAAAATTGTATCCGCTGCTCATTGGATATAAATAAAATCGGTTTTGATTGAATTTATTAGGTAAAAAATTTGTATCCTTTGCACATTGTATATAAATAAAGTTGGTTTTGATTGAATTTATTGGTTAGAGTGAGTTAAAAAAATTGTATATTAGTAAGGGGGGCGTTCGGTTTTCAGATTTTCGTTTTTTTTTTTTTATTAGTAAGGGTAAAATTGTATATTTCGGGTGCGGTATTTTGTAATTGGTTGCTGTATTTAGTAAGTGAGTTTTAAAAAAAATAAATAAATAAATAAATAAATTGCAGCTTATGGATGCCCCAAATCAAAACACTTTCTTTCACCGGAACTGTGGGCTATGATGGCCCCAAAATTTATGTGCTTTAGCAGAGAATTTCATGGTTGTGTTAAGTGTTTAGCCAACAAGATGAGACATCAAACATATCTGATTTTGCTAAAAAGTGAGATGATAAGAATTGAACTATCATGTCAAATAATATGTAGTAGCTTTTCTCAAACTTATCTTTGTTTCACAAATTATTGACAGACTCCTGCCACTACCGACTTACCAATATACAAATTGAAGCCAAAGTGTTGGGAAATAAAATGGCATGTTAGCTAGGTGAAGTGACTATTCGTTTGTAAAAAATTCATATTCTCACGTCTCGAGGTGAGATACAGTATGAAATTCCGTATATAAGTGTGTAAAAAGTTATTTGTACAATTTTTTTGTACAACATTCAATGACAACATGATGTGGCATGATGTGGGTAGTTGAGATGCAAATAAATGTATGGTTGGAATTTGAGTTAATGATACTTTTAACTAAGTTGTCAACCAATATTATAAACTATAATTGTACATGTAGCATTGTCCAGAGCACGTATTTTGATAATACATTTTAATTTAAAAACGTATTTTTAAAATACGTTTTAAAGTTAATTAAATTAATTATGTTATGAAATTAATTTAATAATAAATAAAACGTATTTTTGAAATACGTTTTAAATAATTTTATTTATAAAACGTATTTCTATAATACGTTTTATAAATAAAATTAATTATATAATATATTTATTGAAGAAAATAATTTTAAAAAAAAACATATTTTTAAACTCATAAAACAGTAAAACTTATTGTGCAAATACGTTTTTAATCTTAAACTCTAAACCTAAACCTTAAACCCAAAAATGTATAACTGAAATACGTTTTCTTCATTAATTATTTGTAAAACGTATAACCTAAATACGCTTTATTCATTAATTATTTATTAAACGTATAATCAAAAATATTTTATTCACTAAAGATTTGTAAAACGTATAACCAAAATACGTTTTAATAAGTAAATATTTATAAAACGTATAAATAAAATACGTTTTATTCATTTATTTTTTTTTTAAAACAAAATAAGTTTTTTCAATTGTTTAACTCAAAAATACATATTTTAAATATTCAAAACAAACAAATAAACCAAAAATACATTAACAAATCAACCAATCTACCCTAAATACCACAACAATGGTTTTAAATAAATCATTCAAACAAATCCAAATAAACAATCCAACCAAATTCAAATAAACCATCCAAACAAATCAAAATAAACACTAACTAATCTAGTTTTCCAACACATCAAGAAGTTTAGATCTATTGGTGCAGAAATGTTAGGGTATAAAACGAAATAAACGAACAAACACAAACGAAATTAGGGTATAAAATATACTTTATAATAGGTAGTACGTAGTATGAAATATATAATATATACACATACGTTATAATATGTAGTATGTAGCATGTAGTATGTTGTATGTTGTATGTTGTATGAAGTATATAGTATATACATATAATTTATAATATGTAGTATGCAGTATGTAGTATGAACTTATAATATATACATATACTTTATAATATGTAATATGTAGTATAAAGTATGAAATATATAGTATATAGTATATACATATAATTTAGTTGTAATTGTATGATTAAATTTAATCTTGGTTTTAATTGAACATACTATCATGTATACTATATCTTCATACCAAAAAGTATAAAGTATATGTATATATTATATATTTCATACTACATACTACATACTACAATTCAAAATACTACATATTACATACTACATACTACATATTATATACTTGATACTACATACTACAAACTATATACTATACACTATACACTATATACTATATACTACATACTACATATTATAAAGTATATGTATATACTATATACTTCATACTACATACTACATATTATAAAGTATAAATTACATATTATATAATAGATACTACATACTACAATTCAAAATACTATATACTACATACTACATATTATATACTTGATGCTACATACTACAAACTATATACTTTATACATTATATTATACACTATATACTATATACTATACTAGATATTACCTACTATATATATACTTCGAATTGTTCGACATGTTCGTGTTCGTAGTTTTTAACTTTTATTTTTATTTTAATGTCATACAAGTTATTTTATTTAATATATAATATATATTCATATTTATATATTATAATATATATGTATATATATATATACAAGACGTTGTTGTAGTAGCAAATATTCAAATGTCTAATCCAAGACAATGGAAGCCATTCGAGAGAGGCTCCTGAGTTGCCCTGCACGAAAATGAGTTGTTTGGTAGCAAAACTTTGAAAGGTCATAACTTTGCGTAGAAATGTCCGTTTTGGACGCATGACCTATGAATTTGTAGAGCTCGACGAGATCTATCCACCGCAAACTGCCAAAGGCTGTTTGGCTGAACAAAAATTGAAAAAAAAAAAGTCTTTTTCTAATGCTAATTTGATTTTGAACAAAATCTAGATATTTTTCACATTTTTAAATCTATATATCTTCCAAACGGAGACTCTTTTACGAATTTTATTTATCACAACAATGCTCTCAACTTCAATTTCATGTACCAATGCGCAAAACTGAAATATGTTTGGTCTAGTGGATAACTTGGTATTCTTTTTTTCACTTAGGTGGGAGGTCATGGGTTCAAGTCCTCTAGAATCTCATTTTGTTATGTTTTTTATTTTTTCCTTATACACATACACATGTGATGATAAATATGTTTTTATTTTGCTCATTGTACACGTGATGATATATGTATGTAATTTTATTTTTGTATATAATATATGTATGCTTACAAATATTTCTGTATATATATATATATATATATATATATATATACATATAACAATATTAACATTATTTTTAGATACTTATTTTTTTATTAATAGGTTTTTTAAAAAATAATTAAATTATAGCAAGGTATTTCAAAAATACGTTTTAAAATTGATTTAGGATTTTAAAAAAAAACTTATTTTCAAAATACGTTTTAATAAGGTTTTTTTCTAAAAGACAAATTAAATTATAGAAATATAAAACGTATTTTCGAAATACGTTTTATAATTATTATTTTTTATTTAACTTCGATTTTTTTTTAAATAATATTTTTTTATTTTACAAATATAATTATAAAACGTATTACGAGAATACGTTTTTTAAAAAAAAAATTAAAAAAACGTATTCTCGTAATACATGCTTTTGATTTTGTTCCACACATTTTTTTTGTCCACTTGTTTTTTTATTTTTTTAAATAAATAATTCACCCGTCCAAACAAATCAAAATGATCAAAAAAAAAAATTAAACACCTCTTGAATTTTTAGATTTTTTTAAATCTTAAATGAATACTTGGTGATTCTTTTTAATATTTTTTAACATCTCAAATGAATGCACCGGATTCTAAAATCTCAAGAAATCTATATATATATATAATTGCTGGAAAGGTTCAATAAATTTTATTCAGCCAGTATTTAATAATAATATGTAAGTTTCAGTTACATAATTTATTTTGACATATCCCATTTTGGATGGTGCCCATTT